CAGGGGGAAGAGGGAAAGAAGGAAGAGGGGAGGAGAAAGAGGAAAGGAGGAGGGGGAGACTGGAAGACTGAAGGAGGGAGGAAGAGAGAAAGAAGGGAGAGGGGAGGAAGGAGAGGAGAAGGAGGAAGAGGAGAGGAAGAAGCAGGAGAAGGAGAGAGAGGGAAAGGAGGGGGAGACTGAAAGGGGGAGGGGGGAGAGGGAAAGAAGGGAGAGGGGAGAAAGAGGAAAGGAGGAGGGGGAGGGAAAGAGGAGGACAGGAGAAGAGAAAAGGGGGAAGAAGAGGGAGAAAAGAAGAGTAGGAGAAGGGAAGAGGAAGGGAAGAGGAGGGGAGAGGAAGGAAGGAAGGAGGGGAGGGAAAACAAAGGGGAGGAAGGGGAAGAGAAGTTGTCTTTGTGTGTCCTTTTGTCTGATCTTCAGCCTGAACCAGATCTGAAAGGGTCAATTCAGATACTGGATTCTGTAAACCACCATCCCTTTCCAAATTCTCCACCAGCCTCAACATTACAGCTATTTCTTTCCATGCCCAGTCTGCTGGAATAATTGGGAGTCACAAAGTAAATCTGAGTGTCTCCAGTCTCCTACTGTTTGTAACCCTAGTCCAGAGCCAATACTTTCCCAACATGCTCTCATCCTATTTGAGGCTTGTCCATGAACTTCTTTTAACAGCGTACTATTGCTCTGCTTATAACCTTTTTCCATCAAATCTATCCTAGCCCAGCAGCTGGAAGCTTTAATGTCTCATTTTGAACACATCCCCTTGCTTTCCTCGTCAGGTTACAGTGCTTCCTAATTGCTTGCTATATAATCAAATCAAGATTCCTAGTATGTGCCTCAGTGCTATTCTAATGAGGACAAAGAAATAATTATAGAGTGTAGCCTGAGATATTAGACAAGTCAAGACTGGGAATTAAACCTGGGTTTTCTACTTATCTTTGTGTCAACCCAGCAACCTCTTTAGGCCTGTTTCCTCTTCCATAAAATGAGGGTCTTAGACAAGAGGAGAGGCAGCAAGGTACACAGCTCAGAAGGCCTGAGCTCAAGTGCTTCCGACCTTACTAGCTCTGTGATCCTGGGAAAGGCATTAAACCTCCCTTGTACGTCAGCTAACTCATCTGTAAAATAGAATTCAGTGGTCTCTAAGGCATCTTCCAGCTCTAAATCTTTCTAGACTCTGAAAGGGGGGGTGGGCAGAATCCACTAGGATGTTAGGTTTTTAAAGCCTTTCATTACTTAGCCCCTTAGTATCTTTACACTCTTCTCACATTCTACTACTCTTCATGTACTACAATTCAGTGCCTCTGGCCTCTTGACTGTTGCTATCATTAGACTCTCTCCATCTCCCAGTTCCAGTCCTTTTCACTGGCTGTCCCCCATCTGGGAATGCTCTCCCTCCTCACCAGTCTCCTGACTTCCCTCAAGTCTCTGCTAAGATCTCGCCTCCTACAGGAAGCTTTTCCTAAATTCCCTTAGTGATAGTGTCTTCCCTCTGAGATTAACATTCATCTACCATATATACATCTTGTCTGTACATCAGTTTGCCTTCCACTTTAGACTATGAGAGCCTTGCAGTGGAGGACATGTTTTTCTTTCTTTGTATCCTTAGTGCTTAGCTGTGTCTGGCACATAGTAGGTACTTAATAAATGCTTGTTAACTGACTAGAATCTACTTGGAAGATAAGATCACCCCCACTGAGCTTAACTAGCAATTAACATTAAACTAGCCAGTAATGGAGAGTTCAACAATTCCCTTCACCTTGCTTTCCTAAAATTCGAGGTCAGAGGAATAGTGGAGACCAGAATGGGGAAAGCAGTGTCCTGTGGACCTGGAGTCATGAAGAGAGGTTCAAATTCCCCCAACTTACTAGTTGTATGACCCTAAGCAAATCACAGTCTCTATGAATTTGTTTCCTCAGCAGTAAAATGAGGATAATAATACCTACCTCACAGGGTTGCTGTGAGGATCAAATTAGATTATGTATAAAATGTATGTGTATACATATAAAAAATAGAAATGTATAAAATATATAATAATGTATAGATAAGCACTCTGTGGATCTTAAAGGTCTCTATAAATTTGAGCTATTTTTTTATTTTCCAAAGGAATTAGCAATAATAGACATTAATGAATCCTCCCCATGCAGCTTAGGTAGTTAAGTGGTCCAGGGAAGAGTGCTAGGCCTGAAGGCAGGAAGACCTGAGTTTGAATCTGACCTGACACTAGTTTTGTGCCCATAATCAAGATTTAACTTCTGTCTGCCTCCGTTTCCTCAACTGTAAAGTGAGGATAACTATAGTACCTCCCTCTCAGGGTTGTTGAGAGGACCAAATGAGATATTTGTAAAGTACTTAAAAGCCTGGCACATAGCAGGCACTTAATAAATGCTTGTTTCGTTCCTCCCTTATTCTTTCCTTTATCACTTTAGGGAAGGAATAAGGCAAGGGGACTATTTCTAGTTAGAGTCACTAACATATTCAAATGGAGGAAAACCAGTGTCGTAATGATTCTATACAAGGCCTTTCATTATTTTCTCCCCAGTTTTTGGATCTAATCAACTGACATCATATCAAATCCAGTTTGGATTTGCCCAGCCAGGCAAACTTACTTTGTGACCCAACAGATGACTTCATCTTTCCTTCAGAAAATGCCTCTTCTCTGATCATATTCTTACCCTCTTTAAAAATGAGATTTCTTCCATAATTACTTTACCACCTCTAAGATCCAATCTTTTGAACATAGGATTCCCTCTACACTCCAGTCCATAGTGTTTGTACCTGTTTATTTTCTTTGTTTATGTTCCTAAATATTTTTTATTTCTTTCTCATCTCCCCCCACACTTAAGAGAAAACACCATACTACCAGTATCTTGGTATCAACCCCAGAATTTAGTATTAGTTGTACAATATTTAACATTAGTATATACCACTTGTGAAAAATATAAAATGTTTCACATAAATTCACATTTGATATTCACAAAAATTCTGATCTGGCAGGGTTATCATTCCCATATTAAAGATAAAGAACTAATTGACAAAAATGTCTTCAAAATATTTAACAATCTTCTAATATTTTTTAATCTGTGAATTACATTTAACTAATACTTTAAAATCAGCCAGATCTCATTCTTGAAAGAGAATGTGTGTGAAAAACAACTAAAATTAGAATCAGAGGAAAGCTAGATTTAGCTTTGATAAAATAGTCAGAAAAGAAAAAACCATTAAAAAACTGTCACATTTATTATACTGTAAAATACCAAGATGATTATCCCTCAAGTTCCTGTCTCTTGATAAAAGGGTTATCAGCTGATTTTTTAAATTAAAAGTCCAAAAGAAATTAAATTTCTCTTTTATTCATAGATTCTTCGGGGTTCCTGTAGCACCACCCCACCTTCTTTCATGGCATTCTGTAGTCGCTGTATCTGGTTTTCAGATAGGGAAAAAAAAATAGATTCAGTTAGCACTACGTAAGGTTCAAAAAGAAAATGACAGCATAAAGAAAATATATCTACCCATTATTGTCCCAAAAGAGAAAACACTTAAATAAAATAATACCAGCACTTGCAGTAATTTTTCCCATTACAAAGAGGAAACAATGTTATTTTTCAAGGAATATATAATTAGCACCTACTATGTATAAATTGGTCTTAATAATAATGGACTAACATAAGTGTGCCAAAGACCTTTAGTACCTTGATATATAAAAGACAAAGTACTTATCAAAGATAAATTCCGATGTCCCAAATACTGGGACTGCTGCAGGGAAAAGAATTCAACATACAGCTCCTCAACCGTATCCAAAAGGAATTCACTTCCATCTAAGCAACTTCAAAACTGAACATACCAATTCTGAGGATGATTCCCAAGAAGTGGGGTAGAAAACCATGAAGTTGATTCCAGCCTCCAGGCACCGCTGGGCCAGTACCCTTCCGATATTTTCACCGGCATTAACACTTCGAGTTCTGTAGAGGTGCTTCTTGATAGCCCATTCTCGGGTGGATGCTGAAACCACAACATCCCCATTATGATGCTCAATAAACGCTTCTATGTGGTGCTGGGTCCGCTGAACTCTCAACCTGGAGGAAGGAGGGAAAAGAAAGATGAGGTAATAAAATAAGCCGTTTAATTACAAACTCTAAATTTCATTTCAGACTCCCTAAAATATTTGACTTGATGGGCTGTTGTTTTAGGAATGATGTATATTGTCATTTATTGCAATAATGTTTGACTTAGATTTACTCTAAGGGAATCCCAGGATCATAGATTTGGAGCAGGAAGAATTATTTCAACTCAGAAATTTGTCATTACAGCCATAGATTTGGAAGAGACCTTGAAGATGATCTTGTGTGACGCCCTTCCTTTAACAGTTAAGAACAAAAAAGGATGCTCAGAGAGACTGACTTGTCTTTGGGCCTAACTAGAATTAAGCTGCTAAAGCAGGTCAAGATTACATTTTCCAGACTCTTATTTTCAGGCTGATGAATACAGAATGACAAGAAATCCTACTTCAGGCTCAGTGTCTTTCCGTACTGTCCCGTAACCGAGCAGATGCTCTCAGTAGGACAAGCAGAAAGAAATGGCAGGACAGGGTGAACGTTTCAAGCGAGCCTCCCGACGTCCCTCCGTCCGTCCGTCCTTCTTCACCCGCAGGCGCTTTGTGGCCACGGCCGCCCCCGTCCATGCTTCCCTCGGGCGCCCCCTGCCCAGGCTCACCTGTGCCAATAGGCCCGGCGCGGCCACACGGTGGCCCAACCCCGCTCCTTCCGGGCCAGGGCTAAGCGCTCCAGATTGTGGGGGTTCCGGTTGGTGAATTCCGGCGCGATCGCCTCATTTTCCTTCGTGTCCCCCTCGGGCGCCGGGGCCGGGTTGGGGCTGGTGGTGAGGGGCGCCAACCGAAACCCTGTAGGAAGCGGAACGAAGTGGGGGAAAGGAAGCAGGGGTAGCTAAAGGACCCGCGCACGTCCGCAGAACCCGGAGCTCCCCATCGCGGGGGCCGAGAAGAGCAATTAATGGTACTCGCCCTCCTCCTCCCTCCCGCAGCCTGCGGGCCTGGCTCCGAGCTTCAGAGGCAGGAGCGCGGAGGCGCTTAACTCCGCACCCGTGGTCCCCCAACCCCACCACCAGGGCTGCTGATTTCCCGGTGCTGCATGTTTATAAAGTTTAAAACGCGAGTCCAATGGGCCACTCCCGAGAGAGTTACCTCGGGGTCATTCTGAGGATCGAGGCCTCGGTTCTTACCAGGCTTCCTGCAAAGAGCCAATAGGTTCCGGCCCCACGGCCGCAGTGCCATCGTGCCGATGACCTCCGGAGAAGCGGCCTCCGCGATCTGCTTTACGTAGCTCAACGGAGCATCTGGTACTGCCTGGGCGCAGCCATGTTGGTTCAGGGCAAAGAGCCTTGGGAATAGGGCGCATGCTCATTACCCGAAATGAACGCGCGACACCGGCCAAAACAAAGATGGCTTCTTGCCATGAGCCAATCAAAAGCAACCCTCTGTTTCTTCTTGACTTTTAGGGATGTGTGACCCTGGGCAGGCAATTCGGCCAGCCTCTCAGTGTAAGAGACCGCAAGAGTGGATGAATGGTCAATGCTACACCAGAGTATCAAAGAGATACTTTACATAAGTCGATAAAATAATAACTTATCTAGAGAAACAAAAAATCAAGACTATCAAGGGAACTAATGAAAAAATGTAGGAATGAAGGCAGAATGGCATTTTCCAACTTCCAACTATGTTATAAAGCAGCGGTCATCAAAACTTTAAGATATTTGTTAAAAGATAAAGAAGACCTCCCTATATGACAAAAACTGCTAAGAAAACTAGAAAGCAACCTGGCAGAATCTAGGCTTACATCAGCTTCTGACCCCATCACAAATTCAAAATGGATACATTACAATATTAAAGGTCATACCATAAAAAAGTATAAGATAACCACAACATATACATCTCAAAGCTATATGTAGGAAATGTATTTTTAACTAATCAAGAGAAAGAGGCAATTACAAAAGAGGAAATCATTTTGATTACATTGGTCAATCAGTCAAGAGTCAATAAACATTGAACAAACACTGGCTTATAATAAATTATATGCACTGCTCTGTAGTAAGAGCTGGAGATACAAAGAAAGTCTAAAAACAGCATCTCCTCTCAGAGTTCACAGTCTAATGGGGGGGAACAATTTGTAAACAACTATGTACAAACTAGCTACATACAGGAGAAATTGGAGTTAATCAACAGAAAGCCACAGAACAATGGGCAGCAGCGAAGGCTTCCTGTAGAAGGTGGGACTTTAGTCAAGACCTGAAGGAAGCAAGGGAAGCCAGGAGGCTGAGATAGGAGGGGACAGAATTCCAGGCATGGAAGACCAGAGCTAGTAAAAATACCCAGAGGCAGTGTCTTGTTTGAGGGCCTGCTAGGAAAAAACGGAGCATGTGGTGGGGCATGTGTAAGACTGGAAAGCAGAAGGGGGCAAAGATTATAAAGGGCCTTTAATGAGAAGCAGAAGGTTTTATATCCAATCCTGGAGGAGACACGGAGCCACTGGACTTCACTGAGTAGGGAGATGACATGGTCAAATCTGTGCTTTAGGAAGATCACTTTGGCAGGAGGTCAATAAAAGCAAATCCATACGTGATACTGAACCTTTCTTTTCTGGGTCCTCAGCATCTCTATCTACTGAGGAGTTGGTGAGATGGTACCTCCAAACAGCCTGTAGCCAGATCTGCATCTTCACATGGATCAGCCTCCTGGATGACAGCTTTCCCAGCTAGGTGCAAACAGGGCTTATGGGGGAGATGGGAAAGAAGAAGGGTGGGACACAGCTATTCTTTGAGGTCTTGGTTTCAGGATCCTAGGCCCCTCCACTGAGATCAAACTGAATCTGTGGATTTGTTCCTTAAAAACACAGAAGGCAGAAATAGGAACAATGAGTAGAAGCTGTACAGGGGCAGATTTAGGCTTGACATAAAGAATAAACTTCCTAACAATTAGAGCTATCCAAAAGTAGAACGAGCTGACTTGGAGGATAATGGTTCTCACTATAAGTCTTCAAGCCATATATCCCTTATCCAAGATATCATAGAGGGGATTCTTGTTCAACTACAATTGGACTACAAATCTTCTTAAGTCCCTTCCAACCAAAGTAAACTACAAACTTTAACACAAGGAGACAAATGTGATGTTATAGGTATCAGAGACTTGGGGTGAAACCCCATCATGGAAATGGAATCACATTATATATTAAGAAGAATTATTCATGTGAAGAAATCCAGGAGTGAAAGCAGGGAAGCATGATGAAGAACACATGACTGAAGAACACCAAAGGTAAAAACAGACAGTTTTTAAGAGAAATTATTATGAAATAACCAATTATTGGGGAGATCCAGGGTTTTTCCCCCTTCCTATTTCCTCATTCTCTACTAGGTCAAACCAGCATTTGAAGAACATTGTTGTTAATAATATTAGATTAACTTTCTCCTCAGTCTTGTTCAGACCCCACCCAAGTGGGGAAGCCCATTGTATTCTATTCAGTCTCGAGGGAGGGGGTAGGAAGAGCCTTTGTCTAGATAGCTTATAGCTGGGGGTGGTCTGGGAGCAAAAGTGATCAGAATCACTCATTTGAATAGGCCCACCTCTCCCATTGTTAACCAACTGATTGATTCCTGGGTGTTGGGAACACCCATTCTTCCAAGGGTATATAAGCATCTAGAAACTGCCACAATGGTCTTTGGCATTTGAGAGTGCTACTGACCCCTTCTTCTTAATTATCTGCTAGCAATAATTAATAAAATGGTTAATTACCCAGAAATAATGTCTCTTAAGTTTTTTACAAGTCACATAAGCAGAGTGTAATAAATATTTGTTGAATACAGTTTACCTCATCAATCAACTAGATTTTTAAAAGATGTATACAAGTATCAAATTGTCAATGATAAAAATAAAAATGTTGGATTGTGGAAAGATTAGTATACTCACACTATTGTTGGAGCTGTGAATTGGTTCAAACTTTCTGGAAAACACTTTGGAACTATGATAGAAAAAGGTACTAAATTATTCATATCCTTTATCCTACAGGTACAACTATTGGGCATATATTATAAGGAAGTCAATGATAGAAACAAGAATCCTATAATATAACAAAATACTCATAGCAGCACTCTACGGAAGCAAAACAAAACAAAAACCTAGAAACAAAATGGGCACTGAACAAATTGCTGCATATCAGAGCATCATAGACTCAGATTTTGATCTGGAAGGAGCTTTAAGGTCATCTAGTCCAACCTTCTTGTTAAACAAATGAGGAAACAGAGGTTAAGTGACTTGACCAAGATCATATTAGGTATTAAGTGGAGGAGGCAGCATTTGAATACAACTCCTCTGACTCCAAATATAGTGCTTTTCCCACTGCCCTATATAATGGAATACGTGGTGGTTTATGTTCAGAAAAACCTGGGAAGACGTTGTAAATGATGCAAAAGAAGTTGTAGAACCACGAGACCAGTAAATATAGTACAATTATGTAAACCAGGATAACTGAGTCTAGGGAAATTTGGTGTGGTAGCAGAGTAAAAGATGGATGGGGAGTGGGGAATTAGGAAAGGCAATGAGAAATCCTGTTAACAATGATCAATTTGGAGGCCAAGCAAGAAGTAATAAGGGTAACCCACCAATACCACTATTAGATATTTCCTAAGATAATCAGTGAAAAAGGGAAAGAACCTATATGCTCTAAAATATTTATGGCCATTCTCTTTGGGGTGACAAAGAACTAGAGACTGAGGGATGCCCATCAATTGGGGGATGGCTGAACAAGTTGTGGTATATGATTGTGACAGAATACTATTGTGCTATGAGAAATGATAAGCAGGTTGGTTTTAGAAAAACACTGAAAGACTTGAACAAAATAACGCAGAGTGAAATGAGCAGAACCAATAGAACATTGTAATAGCAATATTGTTTGAACAGTAACAGTAATGACTAAGCTATTCTAAGAAATATTATCATTCAGCTCAGCTACAAATGACCTATGAAGGAAGATGTTATCTACCTCCAGAGAAAGAACTGATATACGGAAGTATGTATATATAAAAATAATGTTGGCCTTCCCTCATGTGGGGTTGGGAAGGAGGGAGGGAGACAACATGGAACTCAAAATGTAACCAAAAAAAAATTTTTTTTTTAAAACACAAGGGTTCTTTAAAAAAAAAAGGGATAAGGGCCTTATCTAGGGTGGTAGTCATGTGAATAAATAGAAGGGGGTAGATGCTGGAGATATTGTGGAAATAGAATCAATAAGATTTGGCATTGGATGTGAAGTGAGGGAAAGTTATGAACAAAGGTGACTGGGAGAATAGTGAAGCCTTCCACAAAAACAGAAAAGTTCAGAATAGGAGTGGGTCTTGGGGGAAAAAAGAGAATGATTTCTGTTTTAGATATGCTGAATTATGAGAAGCTTATAAGAACAGCCGTTTCAAAATGTCCACTAGGCAGTTGGTGATAAAACAGGAATTCAGTAGATACTACGGCTGAACTATATATGACTTTTAAAAATAAACTTTTGATATCTTTTGGGTTTGTATAACCTACATTTCCTATTATATTCTTTCCTTCTCCCCTTCGAAGAGTGCCATCCCTTATAACAAAGAAAAAGAGAAAAAAGTTCAGCAAAATTAACCAACATAGTGAAAAAGTCTGACATGTAATAATGTTCCATACACATAGTCCCCTATCTCTATAAAGAAAATAGGGAGGTATTTTCTTATATCTCTTCTTTGGGGCCAAGTTTGATCATTATAATATCATAATATTTGGTTTCAATTGTTTTTTCTTTCTACTTACAATGATGTCATTGTGTATATTCTTTTCTTGGTTCTGCTTGCTTCACTTTTAGTCAATTCATATATCTTTCCATGTTTCTCTAGTCATCATATTCATAGTTTCTTTCAACACAGCAAGATCCCATTATATCAGGGTACCATAATTTATTTAGCCTTTCTCCAATCAATAAGTATTTACTTTATTCAGGTTCTTTTCTGTTACCAAAAGCATTGATATAAACATTTTGGGGCCTTTTTAAAAAAAATCACTGACCTTTTTCTCCTCTTACCTGACTCTTCCTTCTTAATCTCCTTTGCTGAATCTTCATCTAAGCCTACCCCACCAACTATAGCTGTTCCCCAAGGCTCTGCCCTATGCCCTCTTTTATATTTTTCTTTTTTTCTTTTTATATTTTCTCTTTTTTTAATTTTATTTTCTCTTTTATATTATTTCACTTGGTGATTTTACCAGATCCTACGGATTCAATTATTATCTCAATTTTGGTGATTTTCAGATCTATTTATACTACTCTAATCTCTCTCCTGACCAATTGCTTAGAGGATGTCTCTAACTGGATGTTGCATAGACATCTTAAACTCAACATGTACAGAACTGAACTCATAATTTTCTTCTTCTCCTCCCTCCCCCGCCTTCCTATTTTCCCTGTCACTGCTGAGAGCACCATCATTCTCCCAGTCATCCAGGCTCACAACCTAGGAGTCATCCTTAATGACTCTTCACTCTCACTTATCTTCCATATATACAATTTCCAAAGTCTGTCGACTTTTATAACATTTATCATACATACAACCCCTTCTGTCCTCAGATACTGCCACCACCCTGGTGCAGGCTTTCATTTCCTCACATCTGAACTACTGCAATAGTCTGCTGCTTGGTCTGCTTGTCATAAACCTCTCTCTACTTCAGTCATCCTCCACTCAGCTGTCAGTGTGATTCCTAAAGTACAGTGTGACCAGGTGACCTCCCTACTCAAGAAAAGTCCAGTGGCTCCCTATTACCTCCAGGATCGAATGCTAAACCCTCTGCTTGGCACTTAAGGCCCTTTGTAACATTGCCCCTTCTACTTTTTCAGTCTTCTTACATCATTTACCCCACCATATGCCTTACATTTTGATTTCTGACATTGGCTTCCCAGCTCAAACAAGAAATTGCATCTCCCAATTCTGGGCATTTGTCCTCTCCTGTGCTTGGAATTCTCTTCCCTCTTCATCTCTGCCTCTTGGCTTCCCTGGCTTCCTTCAAGTCTCTACTAACATCCCATCTTCTGCAGGGAGCCTTAACTGTTCCCCGTAAATTCCAGTGCCTTCTCTCTGTTGATTATCTTCAATTTATCCTGTATATAGCTTGTTTGTATATAGTTGCCTGCATGCTGTCTACCCCTTTGGATTGTGAGCTCCTTTTTTTGACTTTCTTTGTATCTCCAGCTCTTAGCACTGCACCTGCCACATAGTAAGCACTTAATAAAGGCTGGTTGACTTGATTTGACATATGCCCAGCAGTAGGATTTCTGGGTCAAAGGCTGTGGCTATTATAGTCACTTTTTACTATGATTCCAGAGGATTAGGTGACTTCTGAGGTACATTATAATCCTAAAATTATCCAAAAGGTGAGATTGATGATCCCTGGTATAATTAAGAAGGGCTTTCTGGAAAAGATGATATTTGGCATTAGCTCTTAGAACAAGGACATCTTTATAAAGGATAAACTTTATACGCATCCCTATCCCCATCCCTCTAGCACTTCACACACAGGAAATCTTAAAATAATAGTATCTCCTTTAATCCAAGGATAAGAAATAAACGGGAGACTCAAAGCTCTTGGTCCTCTATAGATCTCAGCGAGACTCTTCAGCCAAATAAGCCTTTGATTGCTCACCACGTACCAGACATTGCACTAAGAATAGGGGATACAAAGACAAAATAGTCCCTCAAGGAGCTCCTAGTATGTCAGGGTACCTAACACCCAAGTAACTGCTGTACAGTTACAATGCAAAATATATATTGCAAGATATGTGTCACATTCCCTGAGGAGGGCACTAGCAATTGTAGGGAATGGGGGGAGGGCTTGTAAAGTCTTCCTTCGAAGAGATGAGTCTTAAAGGAAGCCAAGAGCTAAATAGGAGGAAGCCGGTGAAAAGACAGGGAAACCTAGTGATGATTGTACAGGAACTACAAGAAAGCCTGAGTCACTGGAGGAGAATCTCAGGGTGCAGAGTATAGGGAGAGGGCTAACGGATGCTACAGCAGAGGGACAGGAAGGTGTAGGCATGGAAACACCTTCATCTGTATAACCCTTCCTCCCCTCCTCCTCCACCGGGCATGGGAATGGCCAAACTAGGCCTTGGATCCAAGCAGGCCTGAACCCAACTCCTCCAAATCCAGTGTATGTACACTGGAATATTACTGATTTAGGAACCAGAGGCAAAGCTCTAAAGGGCCCCAAGACTCTAACAAAAGGCCAAGCCTCCTCCATCCATTTAGGAACCATGCACCTGCTGGGCACACACAAAAGGAGGACGCACTTCTTGCCCTCGGGGAGTTTTTCCGTGGTACTGGAATGTGCTCTCGTAAACCTAGGATTGAAAACGCATAAGATGCTTAAGTATGAAATGCAACTTGGGTCAGCCGCAACGCTAACCTTAAGCTTACGTGCCCCACCCAGGAACCGCTTTCTAGAAACCACTAGAATTTCCTGGCCCGCATGCGCGCCGCAGCCCCAGCCCAACTGCTCTTCCTTCTTCCGCTAGTACTAGAAACCAACTCCTCCCATCCCCTTGCGCTTTCCCTCCCATCCTTTCTATGATTGGACCAGAACCTCATTGCGTCATGAGTTGGCTTTCCCCGCCCCTTCCCCCCTCCCGTAATCAATTTTCCTGGGCTTCGTTATTTCGCACACTTCATTTTCCCTCCTCCCCGCTCCCGAGGCCGGCGAAAGAAGGGGGCGGGGAAAAAAAGGGTTACCCAGCAGCTCCCGCGGCGCCGTTCCCCGTTCTTTCCCCGCTCCTTGTCTCCACGCTGCTGCAGGTTCTGCTCTCCGCGGGAGTGTGTATCTGGCAGGGAAGATGGAGGGGCCCTTGTCCGTGTTCGGGGAACGGACCACCGGGGAGTCTATCCGCTCCCAGAACGGTGAGGGCGAGCTGGGCGGGCGGCGGGGGAGGCCTGCTCTGAGGGGCCGCGCTCCCCGGCGC